TTATCAAAATCGGGTTCGGTTCGAAAATCAAACCTTTTTTGATGATTTTTTTGAATATCTCGGCCAAATAGTGTCCGATTTTCAAATTTTATACCATTTCGGACTCGTAAGGATCAGTACTTTCGACTGGCATCAAAAAATAGAAAATCTAAATTTTGACCCAAATCGACCAAAATGGCAAGGGGTTACATCACGATTTTTATCAAAATCGGGTTCGGTTCGAAAATCAAACCTTTTTTGATGATTTTTTTTGTATATCTCGGCCAAATAGTGTCCGATTTTAAAATTTTATACCATTTCGGACTCGTAAGGATCAGTACTTTCGACTGGCATCAAAAAATAGAAAATCTAAATTTTGACCCAAATCGACCAAAATGGCAAGGGGTTACATCACGATTTTTATCAAAATCGGGTTCGGTTCGAAAATCAAACCTTTTTTGATGATTTTTTTGTATATCTCGGGCAAATAAAGTCTGATTTTCAAATATTATACCTTTTTGAATTTGTATGCTTTCTGGCGAAATTATGACGTTTGAAAACGACATAACTCCGCCGCTGATCATGGCGAGATTATGTCGTTTTGAAGCGACATAACTCCGCCGCTCAAACAACGATTTATCTCCGCGCTCTAAAAACGACATATATCCGCGGAAGATATGACGTTTGAAAACGACATAACTCCAATTTTTGACTGGTAAGGATCAGTACTATCGACTGGCATCAAAAAATAGAAAATCTAAATTTTGACCCAAATCGACCAAAATGGCAAGGGGTTACATCACGATTTTTATCAAAATCGGGTTCGGTTCGAAAATCAAACCTTTTTTGATGATTTTTTTCGTATATCTCGGGCAAATAAAGTCTGATTTTCAAATATTATACCTTTTTGAATTTGTATGCTTTCTGGCGAAATTATGACGTTTGAAAACGACATAACTCCGCCGCTGATCATGGCGAGATTATGTCGTTTTGAAGCGACATAACTCCGCCGCTCTAAAAACGATATATCTCCGCGCTCTAAAAACGACATATATCTGCGGAAGATATGACGTTTGAAAACGACACAACTCCAATTTTTGACTGGTAAGGATCAGTACTATCGACTGGCATCAAAAAATAGAAAATCTAAATTTTGACCCAAATCGACCAAAATGGCAAGGGGTTACATCACGCTTTTTTTCAAAATAAAGGTCGGTGCGAAAATCGAAACTTTTTCTATGATTATACCCTGAACCCATCAAAAATGGGTATAAGGGTATATTGTATTTATATTTATAACAGGCAGAAGGAAGCTTCTCCGACCCCATAAAGTATATATATTCTAGCCATCTAGCCATGTCCGTCTGTCTATCCGTCCCTCCGTCTGTCCGTATGTATGAACGCAGGGATCTCAGAACCTATAAGAGCTAGAGACTTGAAATTAGAAATTTAGATGTAGGTCCTAGTGCCTGCGCAGATCGAGTTTGCTTGAGATAATCGATAACTTACTCCGATTCCAAGCAAAATCTATATCGATATCATGTTTTTTGGGCAATTTTGGTAAATAATAAGAGCTACAGTCACCAAACTTGACATATAGCTTCTAAAGTAGAATATATATATGCATTTGATGTTGGAAGAAGAGGGTTCAGGGTATCCCCTAGTCGGGAGCTCTCGACTTGAGCCTCTTACTTGTTTGTTTTTAGGGAAGTGCACTTGGGTCACGTTTTTGATATTTCATTGAATCAAAACAAATTGCTGGCCGGGCAGCGCAGGCTTTAAATAAATAAATAAATGCGCAACCGCCGGGCAATATACTATATACACATATATATTTATTTTTTTTTGTAACGAGTTTGGAGCTGTCCGCTCGTTAGGCAAATGGCAGCCGCCGGACCGAGCCTGTGCCGTAAAATGTATTCAACTCGTAAAAATTTAGATTAAACATCATAAAAATGCAAGTCGTACTCAATTGAATGGTCAAGAAAGCAACTGTTGCCTGTTTGTTCTCCAGCCCAAAACTTTGCTTTTCTATAGCCAAATTAGCTACATTTAGCGGGCATTGCGGTTGTATTTATACGCTGTGCGCGAAGTGAGAAAGTGTGTATTGGTTACGTAGCAAGTTCTGATGCCTAAGACTTGAAAATTTCGCATGGACAAAGTGGGCCGAAAAAATCGATATATAGATCGATTAAGTGCTGGGTAAACTTCGAATGACCTTCTCTAAAATTGGCGACAAATATATTATTGCCACGCGTCCATGAATTTCAAAAATCAATACACAGCTCAAGAGTCACCCACCCAAAATAATCAAGACACAAGTCTCAAGTTCTCATTGCCCATTATATAGAGCATTGCGCAGTCGTTGTGCTTGCTATCAATTGCAACATTCCTTCCGTTTTTTTTCCTCTTTTCGCACTTTGCTAATTGACAATTTTCAAGCAGTTTTTCTGCGCCATAAAAACGAACTTTTCTAATAACCCCCAAAGGCAGTCAGTTTCGTCTAAGCCATTAAAAAATTAATTGCCCGCCTTTTACCCCAGGACGACTACGATGTCGTCGGTACACGCCCCAAACATGGCACTAATCCAGCTCTTAAAGCGGAGCTAAACGTTGCGTCGACATCGTCTTCGACTCTTTGGCCAGCATTTGTTTTCCATCAGACAACGGGGCACAAATAAGGGCTTGTCGTCGTCCAAGTTGCCAAAAGCATAACAAGAAATCAGCCAAGACGGCAGTGTTAAGTTCATAGCTAATCAACCAAAAGATACCCTGTATATACTAAGTAATAAGTGTCATAAGTCTTAAGTCTTATCAGTGGGCATTCTAGTGCACTAAGCAAATGTGCAAGGCATTAAATCGCTTTGGATCGCATCACTATATTATATGGGTATTATTAAATATTGCTTAATTATTAAATTCTTGTAGAACAATCTGCTTCATTGTAACTTATGTTGTACGTAAATTACGACAGAATACTATATAGACTTGTTAAGCTGATGCGTCGGGCATGCCTCTTTTGGCAGTCATGTAATACAGGGCATAAAAAACGTTTAATTTAGACACAAGCTTCTAATTTTGTATTATTGCTACGTTTTGTTATTAGTTTTATTTTATTTTATTTTATGTTTTTGCTTCGCTTTTGTCTCGAGTGCTTGGGCAAATTGTGTGCGGCTGACCTTTTGTAAGCACTTCTCTAATTGTGACTCTCGTCCAGCAACAAGCTGCAGCTGAGCGAGAGCGCGATATGCCAATAGAAAGAGACGGACTGAGAGCAAGAAACCTGACGCTTAATTTGGCGCAATTTTTTATTTGTTTTGTTTTTTAGCTGTCTTTTGTGTGGGTTGTCGATTGACTGACGCAATCTTCCAATTTTGTGTACATATTACTTTCCAATTTTATTGCCGCAAATATATGTATATATATAGTATAGTGTATTATAGAGTATTATATGTATATGATAGCCAAGTGACGTCAGCTTGTGTGCTACGATTAGATTGCTCTAGAGCTTCGTACACATTTTTATCTTCCGGTCGCGCGGGCACTTCCGGTCGGTCGCAAACAATTGTTATCAATAATATGCCAGAATTTCAAGTGAATCATTTATTAAGTTCAAGTCAAAGGTTTTATTGAACTTACATGAATAATTGAGCCGTATAATTGAGTGTAGCTGCCGCGAAGAACATTGCACTCCATTAAGTTATCAAGCAGCAGCATGCACTGCGCACAAGTGCTCATACCCTATGCATAAGGCATTCTCAGCTTTTTTACGAGACATGTAACACATTGGAAGAGGGAAGGGCTTAGCTATTATTGGAAGCTCATTAATTGTGAAGGGAATTTAAGCTTTGACTACACAAAACTTAAATCTTTCTCAGTTTTTTCTTGTATGCGTTTCATTTATGACTGACAAGCTGCGTCATTTTTCCATTTGCCAGGGCAAAAGCACAAATGCAAACACTCTGTAAATTCGCTCTCTTTAGAAACAGGGAGAGACAGAGGGAGAGACAAAGGGAGAGGGACATCCCCACCGAAGGGTACTTTGCGACCATATAATTATTTCTCATGCTACTTTTGCTGCTGCTGGTTTTGGACGCCAGTTTTTCGCACACAGCGCGCAAAATTTTAATGAGTTGGAAATTTAATACCAACCAGAACAGACAGCCAGCAGATTGCTGAGTGGGTAGGAGGAAGGAGGGGGTATAAGAGTTCACTCGAATCTGACTACAACTGCGGTAGGTCTCGCTTCGAGGCGCACACAATTCAATTTGCAGTGTGTTCTTAAATAATTAAAAAATTTGCATTTAATTGAAAGATTAATGAGAAAAGCCTAGAGACAAACTCAACAACACTGATTGACTGACTGACTGATTCACTAGCTGACTGACTAGCAATAGTTCTCACTGATTGACTGACTGATATAATATATATATATATATATATATATACATAATATACATATATCTATAACGTGGTTCTATCTGATTGATAGACTGATTGACTCACTGATTGACTATCTGTCTGACTAGCAGTCATATTACGTAGTTCTCTCTAATTTACTATCTGAATGATTAGCAGTTCACTCTGATAGAATGGCTGACTGACTGACTGATTGACTAACTGACTGATCAATCATGACTGCTTGTCAGTCAGTTAGTCCGACTTGCACTCGTATAACGTAGTTCTCAGCGCAGCTTTAAATTCATTTTAATGAACTCTAAGTTTTTCCCCTAGCTCACCTTGAACTTGTGTTCCGCCTCAAATGGCGGCTTCACAAAAAAAATTAAAGATAACAAAAGCCGCGACTAATTTGTTTATATATTTATACATATTATATAGTACATATATGTACATATGTATGCATGTATGTACTTTGTCTGTGTGCAGTCGCTTCCGTTCGTTGCGCGCGCAATGCGCAGTTTTTCTTAGATAAATCTTCGTCTTTTTTCGCTGCTTATTTTTAGATTGTAATATGTATTTAATTTATGCTAAATGTTTGCTTTTTTCCTCTCTTATTTCCAGATTTGACGACTTTTCGACTTTGTCTGGCGATTTGTGCGCTTGCGGAAATGTAAGTTTCCCCCCTCATCAAATCTTGATTTAACTGTTCTCATTTAACCCAAATCCATTTGGGACGATTTAATTGGGTTGGCGCATTTTACGTGACGCACTAAATTTCGTCATTTTATGTGACAACTCCGTTTGACTATTGCATTAATTTACTCACGTATCGCATAAAAGTATGATCTGCAAGTTTGTGAACTTCCATTTCACGGGGCTCCACTAATAATTAGTCTTCACGACATTGAAAACCTCGTTAAAATCTTGAAATGTGTGCACTTGTTGGGTAAACCCCACGTGGAAACCCCTCCCTGCCCCCCTGCTGAAGCCCCTACAGCTCCTCACTTTGTGTGGCTTCTAATTGTAGTTTAACTTTCTGACATAATTTATGATGCTTTTCGAACTCTGAAGTTTGTTGAGGTTTTGTTTAGTTGTTTTTTTTTTTTTTTTTTTTATCTACCTTGGCAAGTTGCCCTCTCGCTTACTCAAAATTCTGAGAATCTTTAAATTGCATTCTGAATAGCGAATTCGCAAAAAATGCGAGAAGTGGAAGCAGCTCAGGCTGTTGATTTATTATTTGAAAAGCTTGCCACCTTTTTTGAGGTAATGAAATTATTTGAAAGTTATTTATGTGTCCCGCCATTAACAAAAAAGTTCTTTTAACATGAGATCTCGTCGAATTTGATAAGAATTTATCAGGCATACTTTTTGTTGATACAGTTGTGACTCGCTAATTTGAAAGCTTCGGCTTGTTTGTTGAGTTTTGACATTTTTGCCTGTGTTTCCATATAAAGTGTGTAATGTTAAGAAATGTATCTAATACTAATTATTCTGGACTCAACAACTTTTTAGTTAAAACAAAAATGTACGATGTCAGCTCGACTGTTGACTTTGATCTAGAATATATATACTGTACATACTTTATCGGATATGTATATATACTTCACACATAACTAAATTCTAGGAAATAAAAAGAACTGAATAAGTTTAAATATATTCAAAGTTCGTTACGCAAAACGACAATCTCAAAGGTAAATGGGGCGAAAAAGATGCTTAAACTTATATTTCATATATTATTTACAGTTCACTGACATTAAAGTCAGTTTATAATAAAAACATGTACTAACACACGTCTCAAAGCAACGTGAACATGAAATTGTTGCCTGCCCATTTCAAGCGGCCCATTGCACATGCAATTCTCGTAATATTGCGTATTGCGAATAAAGTGAATAAAAAACACATTCACAGTCATATTGACGTGTCATATTCTAAGGGTTATGTCTGACGTAAGAGATTAAAGATAAGTACTGTTGCCCATCGCCATTGCACAACAAGCGAGAACATCTCTATAAAAAAATATAAATACTAAATGAGTATTCGCGAGTGTATGCATATGAATGCATATGCGTAACATGAATACATTTTGCAAATACTCTATAGACAGACAATAATAACTGTAAATGAAGCTTTTAGCGTCACGTTGAATTGAAAATTGAATTATGTGGAATGGGTATAGAGCAGGGGCAGGGGCAGAGCTGGGTCTGAGACTGCGACCGGGTCTGAGTTATTCTTAGGAACTTGGCGACTAACTCGACTCGCGATCGCACACATGTGACCCTGAACGGAGCAGCTCTGCCGTCGTCTGGTGGGAACCAAAAAAATATACATATATATATGTACATATATATAAATAAATCCACACAAATATAAAAAATTTTATAGATAATTATGCATAATAATGATGCTGTAGCTGCAGTTTTTATGAATAGAGTCTTATAGCAAAATGTTTTATTGTTGCTTATGTTCCATTATATTTTTAACTATGTTCGCATACACACTTTTTACCGACTTCATCAAAGCAGAATGCAATGCTCATTTTTTTATTAGCCACATTAAAAATCATTTATTATGTTTTTCCGCTCTCTGTTTTGAGCATTTTATTTAAGCTCTATGCCATTTATTTAATTTTTTTGTACGAGTTTTATTTTTTTTTCATATTTGCTGGAAAGAATAATTAAAGATTTCATTTTTGATTTATTAAACTACAATTTTGGTTGGTTCCCAAAGGGCCCGCAGCGTTTGGCGAATGAATGAATGGATTTCTGTTCTTTGCAATTTTTAAAGCGAGAGAGATTTAATATCTATATATGCATGCATGTATTTTGTTTCAATACGCACAATTTGTATTTGTTCAATATGCATATTTTAATTAAAAGTCATTAATTTTTAAGCAAACACAAAACATTGTTTACATTCTGTGAACACACACATTCATTTGCTTAAGCCTTTGAAATGCATGTTGTTTATTTTCATTTATTTTTTATTGTGATTCAACGAAATTGCATTTGATGGCATCTGTTTTAGGCCACAAGCATTTAGATTTGGGTTTTCAGGTGCTAGCAAGGAAATTTAGAGATTTAACTATTCGAATCAGTAGCCAAAAAAACACAAATACGTTTTGTTCAAGCAATTCAATTATTTGTGTGTTTGGGTAAATGTGCGTGTATTAGTGAGCTTTAAACAAGTTCTGCTTAAACAGAGCTTTAAGCGCACAAAGCTTTAGTGTGCGTGTGCTCTATGCGTGAGGCATTGAATTATTTGTTTGTATTGCTGTAATTTAAATAAACTGAAATTAATAATTATTAAAATCAAATCCAATAGCTGGCCAAATATTTATTCCATTTGCCTAGCAAATACATGAATAACTGCAAATATTGAACTGTGCGCTCCCAACTTGAGGCCGGCCCAGCTACGCATTCCTTTCATATTTCAGCTGCTGCCGCTGCCCACGGACAGGTGCAGCTCATAAGCAGAGCAAAAAATGCGTCGCAAGCCACATCGACAGCTTTTTGCCAACAGTTGCGTACCCCACGAGCCAAATGATATCAAAATTGGGTTAAGCAACTAGCCAAGCCACGAGCAGCCGCTGCTGTTGCAATTGGCCACAACGCCAACATTGCCGCATTTGGCGTCTCAGTTTTTGTTCAATGAAAATGAAAGCAGGCCTTGCAATCAGAATACAAGTCTGTCGCAGCTGCCATGTGGGCCAGAGATTTTCGCTTCGCCTGCCTGCCTGTGAAAGTGAAAACTGAGCCACTGGAAAACTCTACAAGTGAAGTCTAGCCATAAGTGATAGACAAACAAATACCCTGTAGCTTCAAAAAAACAGATACGCACTTTGATCAGCTTGTTTGCTTCTTCTTCACTTGAGGCCCAACTATAGAGAATGTACTCTTAAGTAACTCACGTTTTCATGGTTCGATCTTGATGCAATTTTCAGAACTTAAGAAGAAGATTGTCTGTATATGCCGAAAATAAAGTCTGCACATAGGCTTTATCTTTCAACTTGCAAAAAGAATGGCGAAAGGTATAAATAGGAAAGATGGGGTACGATCATTATAAAATGTTAACTCCTAAAGATGGGCTTCAACTGTCTGTAAATAAAGACTTAACATAGGTTTTTTCTTTTGATTTGGAGAAAGAATAGCGAAAGGTATAAAAAGGGAAAGGTATGGGGAAAGGTGTGAACAAAAATTACTTATTCTTAAATCATAAAAGAAAGTACAATATTGTTTGTCTATACTCCCCACATATGCATAGATTTATGTCCAAAGAACGTAGACTGAACATCGATATTTATCGATTTCGAGAAAATGAGAAGAGTTATCGAAGAAAATAGCATTGCGATTGAAGCAGAGATATGGAGAATATATGTTTATATATGTATTTTGTGACTTGAATGCATATGCCCAACTTCAATTGGTTACAGGGTATTTAAATAAAATTTCTGCCTAGCTGCAATTGCCAGACATACACAAACTGGCCGCTGCTCATTACAACAAATTTGTTTAGTTTGCTTTACGCATTCATTATCTTGTGTATATATATCTAATGGTCAGGTTGTGTTGACGCCTCAGTTTTTGGGTTCTCAGTGGACAGCTTTGTCAGGTGAGGTGTGAGCGTGGGAGTAAGTGAGAGTTCAATTTGTCTAGACCCAACAATTTGTGCGATGAGAAAGTTGTGGTTGTTTTTATTACGAGCCTTACTATTTATTTATTTTTTGACTCGATTAGCAGGTGTTTATGAAACAGCAACACTTATGCCAATGTTGTTAAGGATTATTTATGGTCTGTGGCCAAAAACTGATTTGCATGTCAAGCTGTCGGAAGCCGTCGATTCACGCAATAGTTGTTTAGCCCCAGAAAAAATAAGCTAACATGACGCGTTGTAGTATCTCGCATACCAACCAGATCTATGTTTGTTTATGGGCTTTACTGCACATTAAGATTAACCTGTTTGAGGGGTTTTTTTAATCTTCTTTTTTTCTTTCTTTCTGGTCAAACACAAGGCTTCCCAGCATTGCTTCTGCACAGCTTCCGAGTCGCGGTGCGTGCTTTCTACTCCAACCAGTTTTCCTTTTCTGCACAGATTTATTGCCAATATTCACTTCTTTTTTTTTTTGTATTTTACTTAAATTTTTTATATTTCAGTCTATACAAATTGCTTGAACAATTTTTGCGGTTGACCAGGCGAAAGTCGTTGGCTTAATTTGGGTGATTTTTTATTATGTTTATTACAGTTGTTGTTGTTGTTGTAACTGGGCTTAGGCGTTGTCCCAGTCGCTGCGATCTAATGCAGGCCATGTTACTTTAAGACCAACTTTAATTAAAGCTCTGGTGCGCCGGCACGATTTCGATTTCCAGCTAAAAGGCGCATTCGAGCCAGTTTTGCTGAGCGTGTCTATCATTAGGCCGGGTTCCGTTGCAACAATCAAAAGACACAGATTTTCAATACGATTCAAATGCGTACAATGGAAATAAAGCTATAAAAGAGTTCATATAGATGTGAAATATAAATAGGGCTTAAGAGAAAGAAAAAAGAGAGTAAGAAAAAGTATTGATACAGAGTTTTAAGCAATGTCTCGAACCACAAACACATCAATTTATTTATTATATTTAATCAAAACATTTTATTTGGGTAGCTCACAAGAACTGAATATGCTTGCAGCAA